CTGAGCTCTTAACCACAACTACATATGCTGTGCAAAGCAGGAGGTCTCAGGGCCAAGGATTAGCACCTACAGGAGCCCATCTGGACCTTCAGATGGGAAAGCAGGCAGGAGGGCTGTGGACAGTGAAAGAGGTCCCTAAGAAGGCAGGGTAAAGGGCTAGTGGAGATGGGAAGGGTGATGTGGGATTCCCCTTTCTATGCAGTGAATATGTTTTATTATTATTTGTTAGTAAAGAGGATACTTTGGCCTGTGGCAGGGCAGAATAGAGCTAGGTAAGAAAACTAAACTGAATGCTGGGAGAAAGAAGGCGAAGTCAGTGAGATGTCATGTAGCACTGAAAGAGAAAGATACCAGCCGCCAGCCAGAATCTTACCTCATGGTGATTCACAGATTAATAGAAATGGGTTAATTTAAAATGTAAGAGTTAGCTAGAAATATGCATAAACTATTGGTCAAACAGTGTTGTAATTAATATAGTTTCAGTGTGATTATTTTGGGTCTGCACAGCTGGGAAACAAACGGTCTTCAACTACAGGAAGGGGAGATGTTTTTCCTGATGGCAAGGAGGGTCCAGGACAAACAAGAGTACCAAGGAATTGCCCAAAGCAAGTAGTTCCTCCCTGCGTTCTGAGAGGGTGAGGGCTGCCAGTAAGGAGGCAGAATGATTCAGCAAATGCAAGGGTTTTCTGAGAGTCACACCTGAGCTAAATCCATGAGAGAAAACCATTAACAAAAAAATCTATAAGCAATTATTAGTCAGATGCAAATATTCATATAACTTTACTCCAAGAAAATACATGCTGAAAGCCAGAGTGTTGTTGGGAAAGGTCCCCAAGGAGGAGATTATCTCCCAATGGGAAGACTAGAGCAGCATTTGAACTGAACCATGAGATCTGGGTAGGAGTCCACACTGAGGGTTGAGGAAGGTGAGGTGAGGGGATAAGAGATGGGTCTTCTGAGGCCGCAGTAAAAAAAGAAGCTTGAGAAAATGGTGGAGTCTGTATATAGAGAGAGAGCTTATATACTGGGCTATGCCACCTTGGCTTCTGTGGACAACGGGCAGCATTTACCTTAGGGGAAGGACACATGCTACCCATGGGGAAGCTATAGAAGAACAGTTATCATCAATCCTAAAATCCCTATGGAGGCACAAAAGACCCCAAAGAGCCAAACCAATCCTACTGGCTCTCCTACCCTTCTCTGCAGGATATAAGGAAGACCTAAGCAAAATGAATGATGCCAGAGGAATGACAACACCTAACTTCAGACTAAGCCACAGTAGCCACAAAACCACCATGGCACTACCACAGAAGACACTATAAAACAGACAGAAGGTCCCGAAGGCTGGGAAGATGGCCTAGCTGGTAAAGAGCTTGCCATGAAAGCATGCAGACCTGAATTTAGATCCTCCACACTCACATAAATCTCAAGTGTATCTGCATGTCTGCAATCCCAGTCCTGGGAAGGTGGAGCCCTCAGGCTCTGGCTGCCCAGCCTACCTGAACCCAGGAAAGACCCTGTGTCAAGATGACACCTGGCATCAGTCTCTAGCCAACACACACAGACACACACACACACAGGTGCACGAACACAAGCACGCATACACACACTCATAAGCACACATACACATATGCACACACACTCACACAGCCCTCCACCAGAAAACGTTTAGATCTGATAAACATTCCAGTGAAGTTACAAGGACTGCAATATACAAAATCATCATATAAAAATCAATAGCTTCTCTACATACACCAAGCCTCAGCTTTATGAGAATGAAATTATATCACACTCGCTGTACCTCAAAGATGGGAAGAAACCTAGACGTAAACCTAAGCAAGAGGGTGAAATCTCTCTACAGTGGGAAAATAAAGGAAGGAAGGAAGGAAGGAAGGAAGGAAGGAAGGAAGGAAGGAAGGAAGGAAGGAAGGAAGGAAAAAATAGAAGATGCTAAATAATGGAAAGAAACCATGTTCCTGCACTGACACAATTAAATTGTGAATATGTTATATTGTCAAAAGAGGTTTACAAATTCAATGTAATTACAACCAAAAGCCCAATGACATTCTTTACATAACTAGAAAAAGCAATCCAAAAATTTATGTGAACACAAAGACCACAGACAGTCAAAGCTGTTCTGAGCTTAAAGAACACTGCTGGAGATGTCTTGATACCCGGCCTCAGCTTACATTATAGCTATAATGACAAGGATTGTGTAAGTCACTGTTGTGGGACTGTAAACTCGTACAGTCAGTATGGAAATCATCCTGGAGGTTTGGTCAAAAGTTAAAAAATAATACTACTGTATGACCCGGCTAAGCCACTCCTGGGCACGTACCCAAAGAAGTCCATAGTCTAGATAGAAACACCTGCACAACCATGAGTCTTGCCTCGGTCACAATAGCAAGGGAGTGGGAACAGCCTAGATTTCGATCCACCAGTGAAAGGATAATGAAAATGTGGCAGATGCACGCAGTGGAGATCCTAGCTCCCAATACTTCCTGCACAGAGCGGTGGATGGATAAACATGTAGATGTACAGATGAGGGTGTGAGCGCAGGGGTAGGTCTGGAAGCTGGAAAGGAGACCATGAAAGAGGTGTTGAGGAATTGGAGAGAGGCTATGGAACGCATGTGACATGAGAGGGTCACAGTTACAGCCATCTAACTGACTCTCAACAGAGATGTTGGGGGAGGAAGATAGCCGTTTTAACAAGTGGCACCAGGAAAACTGGACGGCACATGTAGATGACTGAAACCCCGGGACAGGGTTCGCTTGGTAGAATGCTTGCCCGGCATTCATGTAGCCCTACCCTAGCTTCACACAACCTGGGAATCGTGGCACTTGCCTGTAATGCCAGAACTTGGGATGCAGAGTCAAGAGGATCAGATGTCCATGATCGTCCTCAGCTACACAGCAAGTTTACGGCCAGCCTCGGCTATGTGAGACTTTTCTCAAGCAAACAACATCAAAGGCAGAAATTAGATTCCTCTAACGTAGACAAATGTCAGTTCCACATTAATCAAATGCCCTAATGTAAGAGAATGTCAAAGGCGGAGGAGATATCAGTGACGTCACACTAAATTAGATGTTTCTGAGCAGCAAAGGAGACAGCGGTGAAATGACAGTCTGCATAGTGAGAGAAAATGTTTGTCAGCCGTTCATCTAACAGGGGGATACAAAAACTAGAACAATTAAATATCAAAAGAACAGATAATCCAGTCATAAACTGACCAGACATTTTTCCGTTTGAGCAAGTACAAATATGCACCAAACGTATGACAGATATTCATATCACTGCCATTTCAGAAATGTAAGTCAAAACTCATAAATCCACCTCACTCCAATCACAGTAGATACCATCAAGAAAATAAGCAACAGCCAGGCATGGTGGTGCACACCTTTAATCCAACACTCTGGAGGTAGAGGCAGGTGAATCTCTGTGAGTTCAAGGTCAGCTTGTTCTACATAGCAAGTTTCAGGCCAGCCAAAGTTACAGAGAAAAACCCTGTCTCAAGAAAGAAAAAAGAAAGGAAGGAAGGAAGGAAGGAAGGAAGGAAGGAAGAAAATAAAGGAAAGAAGCAAAAAATGCTGGAATGAATATCAACAAAAGGGAACTTGTTGGGAATGTAACTTAAGCCAGTCACTATAGAAATCAGCATGGAGAAATCAAAGTCATCGCACGATAACATACCTGCACATCTATGCTCTCTGTGGAACTATTTGCTAGAGCCAACACACGCAAGAAGGCTGCGTGCCCATCGAGATAAATGGCTAAAAAGAATGTGCTATACACACACAAGCAAGCTTTATTCAACCATAAAGAACTAATTGTACCATTTGCAAGAAAGATGGTTGGAATAGAGATTGCCATGCTAAGCAAACCAGACTCACAAGACGAGCGTTGCGTGGTCTCTCCCACATGTGAATCAAGGGTGAGAGAAACAGGACATGAAAGCAAAGCAAAGGACTGTGGGTGGAACCCTTGCTGCTGCCCAGCCTGATGCCCCTGGCAGACTACTAAAGAAACCTTGTTTACTGACTCGTGTCTAAAGAATGACTTGATTAACCACTGCCCCCAGAAAAGAATATGAAAGAGGACTATCAGAAAGGTAGAAGGAGGGAAAAGGAATAGAGAAAGGGGGAGATGATAAGGTAATAGAAGGAAAATTTTTGATGAAAGTACATTACATGCATGTATGAAAATGTTAAAATGAAACCCGCTGCTTTGTATAATTAATATAAGCCAACAGTCATTTTTAAAACAGCTATCTTCTAGGGCGTAAGCTCCTGGAGGAATGACAGCTGGGAACGCATTGCTTTGTGTAGTTAATATAGGTTAAAAATCATTTCTGAAACAGCTACCTTCTAGGATGCAAGCTACTGGAAGAAAGAGAGCTGGGAACAGGATTTGGAAGAGTGACGCTGAAAGCCAGTGGAGTTGCATTTGTACCAAAGACAGATCCTCGCTCGGATGCAAGAGGGAATGAATGTACTGAGCAGTAAATGCCCTTAAGCAAGGACTGTGTCTGAGTTCAGCCCCTGCTAGGTCACACACCAGCTAAAAGAGATCTTGCTCAGGTCCCCTTCTGGACATCAGATTTACATACCGTGGAAAAGCGTTGTCACCTCTGAGGATCTCCTAACACCAATTCCTCTCAAGAACTCTATGACAACCCCTCACCCTTCCCAAAGGAACCATGAAAACACTGGAAAAGGCTCAGTCTGTAAACTCAGGGGACAGAGTGTCCACATAACAAAGACGGAATGAGTTGGTCACTATGGATCCCCTGACACCCTTTGTATATTACAAGTTGGGACAGGAAAACGAAGGGTGTCAGAGGTGTGGCAGGCAGGCTGTCTTGCTTAACATGGGGGTGAGGGGTGTTAGATGGAAAGGAAGTGGGCCAACAAACCAGTTTCCTCCCAAACAAGCTCCAAGCCCAGGGCTAGGAATTTCACAAAAAAGCAAAATGAGTTGTGCGACCATTTCCTGCTCCACCCGGCTCCCTCCCTGCCTGGGTTACCACACTGCTCACCTGTGAAGCAATCTTTCCCAGGGACAACCATGTGTCTAGCAAGGGGCTGCCTATAAAAGCAGGACTTATGCTGCTCCTGCCAAACACTCGGTAGCTCTTTAGCTTTGGTAAGTGAGCTTCGTCTTCTCTGGCGGGGAGCCTGCCTGCTAGATCTTTCATTCCTTCCTTTAGCCAATTTTCTTCCAAGTCCTCCTCTAGAAGAAGGGCTCCTTGGTTGACCCTGTCCTCTTGACATCTTCCTTCACTTTCTCTAAGTGCTGTGTTGTAAAATAGTTCGCTTTTTTACGTTCCGTCACTCTTTTTGCTTTGTGTTTCTCCTCCCTTTCCTGCCTGACAGTGGCCACAGACCAGGCCAGGGACGCTCAGCACCCTATTTGCTCATTTGTAACCTTTGTGCGTCCTGTTTTCAAAGAGGAGTAAGAAGATGGCACACCAAAACCCATCTCTGATGGAGCGCAGCATAAACACCTTCATCGACGTCTTCCACACGAACTCTAAGGTGGAAGGAGACCCAGACACCCTGAGCCAGAAGGAATTCAAACAGATGGTGAAGAAAGATCTGGCAAACTTTATGAAGGTGAGGCTTGGGTAGTAAGGGAAGAGGTGCAGTCTGTAGGATTCAGGGAGACAACGCCATCACCTTCCACCAGGGACAGCGGGGTTCTGTCACTAGAGGTACTCAAAGTTAGACATAAGTCAGGAAATTGTTTCATTGAACACCTTCAATGTGTGGTATTCTATTCTGTGCAGAGGGATGTAGAGATGATATGGGACTCCTTTATCCCAGTGTTGGTGACATACAACCTTAAGAACACAGGCAACTTCAATGGCCTGGAAGTCAGGAGGAACATAAGAGTTCTGTGGGTAGTCTGTGCTGGCTGCAGCAGGGTGGGGTGACTGGCTATGGTTTAAAAAAGTAAAAAGGTCCTCCTCTTTGAGGAGGCAACACTTCAGCTGAGTCCCTGGTAAAGGACTCATAGGTTGCTAAAGCAATGAGGTGGCATGGCAGGTTTGTTGGCTGCTAGAGAAGGAAGCTGAGACCAGTTACCCCTCAAAATGGGCTTTATGAGGAGAGAGAAATTCAAGATGATGGAGGCCACGATCCAGTCTTTAGGGAAGAGAGCATTAAATGCATTATGAGGACATTGAAGAAAATAGCATAAAGTGAAAGAAAAGAGAAAAGGCTACCACGGACAATGTGGGAGGGGCCGCTGAAAGGGAGAGAGGAGCATGCATGTGCGTCAGAGCCAGAGAAAACCTTCACTTTATATATAATATATATATATATATTTATCTTTTCCCTAGGGGAGTGAGGAGCCTGCTCATATTAAGGCCAGATCCTATAGGCTGGTCTCCCCCCCACCACTTCCCCCGAAAAGGAAAATTGGAGAATTGTGGTTATGGGAGGTATTAGGGACACAGACATTTCCTCATAAGTGGGCATATTGGGCAAACAAGGCACTGACTCAGGGTAGACCAAGGGTACACATGAAGCTATGCTGCGAGATATCTTCTCTGGGATCTCTTCATGGGTTCTACATGCCATCTTGAAGCAGGGTGATGAGCCGGTGGAAACTGGGACCTCAAACATGGACTGCTCGGGGTGTGGGACAGGGTGGTGCTTAGCCAAGGTGTCCCAGCAAGTGAGTGGAAGACTTGCAGTCAGCTGATGAAGCTGCTGCCACATCTTGATCTTTCCTTTTTATCTGAGTCTTCCCTACACTTTACCACACCCTTTGGGGTCAGCAGAGCTTGGTTTGCTCCTAAGATCCCATGGTTTCTGGGGTGCCTCCCCGACTTAGTAGCCTAAATAAGGTTTACCAGGTATTTACCTCCAAGGAAAGGGCGAGAGTGGGGGTGACTGAGAGGCTGAGGAGAGGGAAGGGGTGCATAATCCTCCAAGTCAGATCCAAATGTGCACTTCCTCTCCTCCCAGCCTCTACAACCTGTAGAAATGATGGCCCTCTCAGAAGGCCAGTTTCCATTTCTACATGTTCAAGTAGTTATACAGATAAACGACAGACAGTTCTAGACTTACTAATTGCTTGACCTTCTACAGAGCAGAATCCTAGTGTCCAAGGCAGAAGGCTGTCTGGGGAACAAATTAGAAAGTGTTTAGTACATGTTTAGCATCTGCTCCACCGTGAACACTCAGAACATTATTCTCATTTTTCAATCTAACGACAGGGGCTAGGTTTTCCTTTGCATTTACCACCTAGCCCCTCGCTGTGCTCCAAGTCCTCTTCCCTGGGTACCCTCAGCCCTAAAAGTCTCCAAAAGTCTCCTCTGTTTCACCCACAGAAGGAGAAAAGGCGCGACAAAATCATAAATGACATCATGGAGGACCTGGACACAAACCAGGACAAGCAGCTGAGCTTTGAGGAGTTTGTCATGCTGGTGGCAAAGCTGGTCTATGCCACCCATGAGAAGATGCATGAGGGGAACCACCCACGTGGGAATGATCACAGCCACGGCTCCGGCTTCGGGAAGTAATGAGGAGACCAGCCACTTTGCATCTGCCCAACCAAGGGAAAATGAAATGTCTTACCAGATGGTCTTGGTTGTGGGGCTGGGAAATGATAAAAATAAAGTCTTTATCCATTCCAGTGATCTGCGTGCTGTTTCTGCCGCCTTCACACTTGTCTTTCCTAGGGGTCTGAGTACTGAACAGTCCTGCCCTAGTCTGAAGCTCCAGTCCTCCATTCCAGTCATAACAATAATAATAATAATAATAAAAGAGCCAACAAACTATGTCCACACTGAGTCCCTAAGCTTACCTCCCTCTCCATGTCTCTATCTCTGATGTTGGGCCTCACTTCTCAGACCACAGTCTCCTACTCTCTCTCTCTCTCCCTCTCTTTCTCTCTCTCTCTCTCTCTCTCTCTCTCTCTCTCTCTCTCTCTCCCTCTCTCTCTTTCACCCATGCCCAGGGAGGTGTACTGAGTAAGGATATATGAAGAATAGGCCCACCCAGGATGCAAGAAGGCAGGCAGATCTCCCAATAGACATAGAATCCCAAACATACATGCTGATGGGCCGCTGTGGTTCTCACATGGATGAAAGTGCAGTTACCCCAAGTCCACCATGACTGCAACAGGAAGGTGGGGTGAGCACACTCACTTGCCCAGTGAAGGAGATGACCTCTGACTTGGCTCTGCACCTCAAATTCCCTGGGTGCTGTAGAGAGATAGGACTTTGTTTACAGAGCCTGTGGAGCCTGAGGATTGGGACCGTGAGCAACGAGGACCAGATGACCTCACAGGACTGAAGACACTCTTGCAGTCCCTCGTCAGTGGCCAAGAGCTCAGCCCAGCAAGGACATTTGCTCCAATCTGTGTGTCCTGTGCCACCGCCCTCGGGGCTGCTGTCACTGTCCCGACACCATGCAGCCTCTGCATTCCCACCTGAGAGACAAAGTCTTGGTTATGGCTAAACAAGAAAGGTAGAAAGCCTAGAGCTGTAAGAAGTTGGAAGCAGAGGCTCACTTCCAACAGAGGGAGCAGGGCCATTGAGGCAAGTGACCAGTTGGGGAAGCCTTAAGGCCACACCAGCTACTTAGAGACTTGGCCTCTGGTGAAGAACAGGAGGGATGGATATTCCCAGGTGTCAAGAGCACTTCTCCTTGTCTCGTGTCTCTGTGAACCCTGAGTGTGGTGGCCATTCTAGAATCCAGGCAAATATCTCAGAGCAATCGTTTTGCAGAGTCCCAGGATTTTCTGTAAATAGCTAAACAGAGGCAGTCATGGTGACTGAGCCCCCTCCTTCCCGTTAGGAAAAAAACTGGTCTGTTTAGCAAAGGGAGAGGTCCCTCTGAGATCTAGGCATGCTATGACACATGGTAGTATGTCAACACAAAATCCCAGCTCTCATCAAACGGAATAAGAAATAGTTTGTCCTGGAGTCATGGTGACTGGCCATGGCGTGACTTGGGCTACCCCAAATTCCATATTCCAAAGTGGAAGCAGTTCCCAGAAGCTTTAGCTTTATAAAAAAAAAAAAAAAAAGGAAGTCATAAATAGCCACATCTGAATCTGACCAAGGTCCTGGGTGGATCAGGAAGACTCTAGAATTTTGGAAAAAAACTAATTTCCTTATTTGTTTGCTTTTTGGCCACTGGTTCTTTCAGGATACGTTAATGGGACACTCACTAAGTACTGGATACTCACTAATTGCTGGACACTCACTAAGTGCTAGGCCCTCCAGACTGCTCCAAGGAACCACAACACTGAGGGAGGCGTGGCCAGGAGCCACAAGACCTGCAGGGAAGACCAGACAGGTCCTTGGGTCGTTCTAATATGAAAAGGGAAAGTCAAGATGACACTAGGTGGGACCTGGAGGCTGGAATGTGTAGAGCTGTCTACCCAGAAGGGAGGTGGCTTTTCTCCAATATCAGAAGCTGATGATGTATCTACCAGTATCCTTAAAATTCTGAATTGCAAAGAATGGATGAAGAAAGTATGGAATATATACATATTAAAGTACTACTCAGCAGTAAAAAAACAAGGACTTCTTGAAGTTTGCAGGCAAATGGATGATGGAAATAGAAAACACTATCCTGAGTGAGGTAAGCCAGACCCAAAAAGAGGAACATGAGATGTACTCACTCATATTTGGTTTCTAGCCATTAATAAAGGACATTGAGCCTATAATTCGGGTTCTTAGAGAAGCTAAATAAGAAGGAGAACCCAAAGAAAAACATATAGGCATCCTCCTGAATATTAACCTTCATCAGGCGATGAAAGGAGACAGAGACAGAGACCCACATTGGAGCACCAGACTGAAATCTCAAGGTCCAAATCAGGAGCAGAAGGAGAGAGAGCACGAGCAAGGAACTCAGGACCGCGAGGGGTGCACCCACACACTGAGACAATGGGGATGTTCTATTGGGAACTCACCAAGGCCAGCTGGCCTGGGTCTGAAAAAGCCTGGGTTAAAACCGGTCTCACTGAACATAGCGAACAATGAGGACTACTGAGAACTCAAGAACAATGGCAATGGGTTTTTGATCCTACTGCATGTATTGGCTTTGTGGGAGCCTAGGCAGTTTGGATGCTCACCTTACTAGACCTGGATGGAGGTGGGTGGTCCTTGGACTTCCCACAGGGCAGGGAACCCTGATGGCTCTTTGGGCTGACGAGGGAGGGGGAATTGATTGGGGAAAGGGGAGGGAAAGGGGAGGTGGTGGTGGGGAAGAGACAGAAATCTTTAATTAATAAATAAATAAACAAACAAACTTAGGGCAGTGTGATAAGACACAGAGACAGACTTCCTGTCTTTTTTTTTAAATGCTTGTTTGTAGGTTTATTTTTTTAAAAGTATTTATTTATTTATTTGTTATGTATACAATATTTGTTATGTATGCCTGCAGGCCAGAAAGAGGGCACCAGACCTCATTACAGATGGCTATGAGCCACCATATGGTTGCTGGGAATTGAACTCAGGACCTTTGGAAGAGGAAGCAATGCTCTTAACCGCTGAGCCATCTAAAAAAAATCTGAATTGCAACCTGAGACAGTCAGTCTTAGCTGGTGAAGTGCACTTGAATGTATCTGAGAACTATTTTCTTTTTCTTTTTTCTTTTTTCTTTTTCCTACCTTCTTTCTAAAAAAAAAAGAGTATCTTGTTATGTAACCCAGGCTAGCCTCAAGCTTGGAGTGATTCTCCTGCCTTAGCTTCCCGAACTCCAGGATTTATACACGTAAGCCACCAAGCCTAGCTAGAAGTAGTGAAATTCGAAATGTCTTGAAGCTGAGACTGCAGACATCTCAAGACAGACAGAAATATGCTTCAGAAAAAGGCCTGGGTGTGGCGGGTGCACGGCTGTGTGGGAATGAGGAGACTGGACATATGAGGGGAGGTGAAAAGGATGGGTAGAGAGCCAAGGAGCTCACTCCTCAGGTGGGAGAGCCAAGGGCAGCCATAGCAATGGATGCGGGAGGGAAAGTCTAGCATCATATTTGTGCTTTGGACACATCCGTTCAAGGGTTATGGGGTAGACTAGAGGGAGAAGGAGACACAGGCTCATAGCTTGTTAGGAGGCAGTGACAACAGCACCGTAGTCCAGCTGAGAGCTCAGCAGAGCCTGCCAGTGCCACTCAAAACCACCTCTGTGGTCAGAACAGAAAATGTCCCTGGCTAGAGAAGGCACAGCACGAAGCTCCTGTTGTAAGGAGCCTGGCAGCAATGACACAAAAGGACAGTTGGCGTCTCTCAGCCAGACTGTCGCGCTGCTGAAAGGAGATTTCCCAGGAATCTCATGCTTGGAAAAGGAAGCTGTCCCCACTACATGGGGGACTTTGTGTCTAGGAAAGATTTCTGACAACTTGTCAAACTGCCTTACAGAATGAGACTGAAACCTCAGGTGGGACCACATTGAGACCTGTGCCGCTGAGATATGCACATCCCCCTCCCTTCAGAGGCTCTGAATGTCAACCTCACTTCAGAGCCCAGAACATGAACTCGGGAGTTTGCTGGGGCCCCTTATCCCTCTTGCAATGTGGCTACATTGAGCAAATCTCCACTTTCTGCTTTCCAATATTGATTTGACCCTTTTAGTTGGTTTGCCCAGGGGACGTGGCAGAACCTGGCTCAGGCTCAGATGATAACCCTAAGTTTGATACCCTGCATAAATAAATGACTGCAATTTTGTCCTGTTTGCCAAGACCTTACTGGGAAGAGGCCTCTGGGGCGAGCAGCCAGTGAGGCAATCTTACACAACCCCAGAACCCAGCCTCAGAGTCCCACTCACCCCGCCTCCCAGAGTTGCCTAAAATGTATATTTTAGAAAGCGCTGTGTTACGAATTTTGACATTTCAATTGCCAAGACAATAGTAGGAATGATGTAACTGCTGCTCAAATTTCTTAAGCTCATGATTGTCTCAAGACCAGGTTGGCTTCCTGGCCCTATGAGAGATACTCCCTCAAGAGACAGGAGAGACCCACGGACCCCTTACAGATTTTCCCCTCTTCGATTGCACGTTCTCCAGTGTTTGTCTTTGCAACTTAAAACTGCAGGTGTAGACCTTACAGTGGGGCTCAGAGAATGGGGCAGCACCGGCAGATAAAACAGGGTGCAGGACCCACATGGCACATAGCCTAGGGCAGCCCACCTCAGTGTCTCTTCCTCTCCCTTCTTTTCTCTCTGTCTCTCTCTGTGTCTCTGTGTCTCTGTCTCTCTCTCTCTTTCTCTGTGTTTTTGTATTTGTCTCTCTCTCTTCCTCCCCCTCCTCCTCGAATGGCACCCCTCTTTCTCCTCCTGTGTTTCTCTAAGCACTCTCTCACTCCCCGCTCTCCGGCCTCCCACACTCCCTGCTGAGACAATCCTATGCTGCTGGGGTGCCAGTGTCTGAACCTTGCAAAGTAATTATGATCAAATCTAACCATGAACAACTCCAAGCACAGTATTTAGCTCCCAAGTCTCCTCATAATATAGAAAAGGGCAAATCACCAGGGGGAAACACAGTTGGGGTCACTTAACAGCATTGGGTGATTTGCTATTGTATAAACATTATAGAGTGTGTTTGATATAGAAGAAACTCAAAGTAATAGAATTGTATGATATATTTGCTTAGACGACATTAAATCACACAACAAAGAATTTAGTTGA